GAGGTGAAGGTCTGTTACGCTCGTCCCGTCTCAACATCGTCTTTGTTTGCACGTCTCTATCTTCAGCTCAAACGTTAACTACCAATCGCTAAAAATGACACGCACAAGTATAGGCTGCAGACAGTACACAGCGAAGAGGAAATTATTAGATCTGCTCCTGCGAAATTCCACTTTTACATTCAAATGTTACATGAAAATATTCAAATTTTACATTTAAATTGAAACAATACATTTAAATTCAAATTATGATGTTACATTCAAATTCAAGCTTATATTTTAATTCAGCTGTTAAGTTCAAATGTTACATTTGAATTTTAAATTTAAATTCAAATTTTTTTAATCAAATGTTGAACTCAAATTCAAATTTTATATTCAAATGTCATGTTTAAATTAATTTTTTTATGCAAATTTTAAATTCTAATGTTACAATTAAATTCAAAATTAAAATTTTCAAATTCAAATGTTAAATTCCAATGTTTCATAAAAAAGCAAACAAATTCAAACGTTACATTTAAATTGTTTTTTTATTCAAATTCTAATGTTACAATTGAATTCAAATATTCCATTTAAATTCTAAATTTAAAATTTAAAATCAAAAGTTAAATTCAGATTAAAATGTTACATTAAAATTCTAATTTTAAATTTAAATGTTACATAACAATTCTATTTTACGATTCTAATTTTAACTAAAATTTTTAATTCAAATTCAAATTTTTTATTTAAATGTTACATTTAAATTCAAATGTTAATTTCAAATTTAAATGTTAAATTCAAATTTAAATTTAAAAATTCAAATTTTTAATTTAAATTAAAATTTTCAAATATTTTCCAACTGCCTGTTGTATTTGTCTTCTGGAGAAGTTTCACGGGAATTTAAAAAATTTTTTTTATTATTATTTAAATATTTGATATACACGTATGAGTATTTATTTATTTATTATGATTTACAGTTTTTGAATCATTTTCAAATGAAAAACTGCTGAGGTCAATATTATTAGCCCCCTTAAGATATTATTATTTTTTAATTGTCTACAGAATAAACCCCTGTTGTCTTAATTAACCTAATTAAGCCTTTTAAAGTCACTTTTAGCTGAATACTAGCATCTTGAAAAATATCTAGTCAAATATTATATTATGTAAAATATTATATCATCAAGGCAAAGATGAAAGAAATAAGTTATTAAATCTATTATGTTTAAAAAATGTGTTGAAAACATTAAAACTTGCTTAGGAAACATTTGAAAAATAATTAAAATTTCACTGGAGGACTAATATATTCACCTTCGACTGTTTATATATGTTGAAATATCATTTAAAAAAACTTCTAATTCACGTATATATTCTCTACAAATAACAAAAAAATAATATTGTAAAAGTAAAATAATAATATTATAGTTTTTTGTCTCCTCTAATGATTATGGGCTTATATTGGTCTGATCTAAAGTGTCAGACTGAAAGACACCGATGTACACTACTGTCAGAAATCTGTAATCATTGTTTTTTTTAAGTCTCTACTGCATTTTTTTGATCGCAAATATGTTTAAAATATGAAATTATATTACAATTTAAATGAGGTATTTTCCGGTGTGAATATGCAAAATAAGATGATTTATTCCTGTGATGTGAAGCTGAATTTCCAGCATCATTACTGCAGTCTTCAGAGTCACACGATCCTTCAGAAATCATGATAATATGAGGATTTATGATGATTATTAGTGTTGGAAACAGCCGAGCTGCTTCAAATGTTTCTAGAGAAAGGGAAACACTTCATTTATCATGACCCATCAATTAACAGAACATTATAAATAACCACATTTATTATAAATAGAAATCTTCAACATTTAAAATAATTTAAAATACATTAATATGGATTTCACTGGCTAAAATAAATGCTTACAAATATGACAATAGATAAGATAACCTATATATTAAAGAGCCCCTATTATGGGAAATTGAGCTTCCATACAGTGTGTAACGCAGCTCTGAGTGAATGAAAACATCCAGCTGAGGGTAAAATCTGAAAGTGCACCATGTTTAAAGATACCAATTCTTTAATAAAAGATTCGACTCAGAGTCATTTAAATGATTCATCTTTCGTCCAGATCTTTTGCCTGTTCTTATAGACGTCAACAAGAAACAATACCAAATATGAAGTACCGGATCTGGTAAAACGTGAACGAGCCTTTCCCTTCAAACACCAGCAGAGTGCGGTTGTGTGTGAGACGGATTATGACTGAACAATAATGAGAGAACGTTCTGCTGATTAATGCAATTAATCTACCCTGCAGCTGGGATTCGTCGGCTGTGTGTTAAAGCAAGGATCAGAAAAGACTATTGATGTCAGAGCTTAACAGGAACTTTACAGTACACAGTTCATGGAGCAGTTTCTTCCTGCATTTCACAAGTATAAGTACGTGCGATTAAAATGGCTGCCTCCTTGTTTTCTCTTGCTTGAAAATTCTGTATTTAATTGTGTTTTGTTACTTGTAACCGTTTGGACTGTATCAGGTTAACTTTTTATATTCTCATATCGCATCTAAAACCATGTTGAAAACACGACGCCTTGCTTTGTTTACGGATCTAAATGCGTTTGTGAGCTCCCGATCCTCTTCCGTATATCATTGCTATGCCCAGTGTCAGCTGTTCCTACACACATGCGGCGGTCAAGGTTCAGAAAAGTTCAGCTTTTGCCGCTGTGTGGGTTAATACTGAGTGCGTGTCATGGTTAAGAATGGAGCACTGTGCTGGTGTTTAACTGCACTGCTTTACTGCACTCCTGCATTGGGCTCACACATACACCCTGCACTCTGACTACTTCAACAATGTTGATCAGCCATGGTGGGCATTTCTTTCTGTCTCGCACTGAACATAGTCAACCAATCACAACAGACTGGGTCATCGGACCAATCACCGCAGATAAGCGTCGCTCTGAGCGGTTTGGGAACAAATTAATCTCTGAATAATTCATATTGGAGTTGATGGCAGTGTGCGAATTATAGACGATCAGTGGGGTCGACTTTTTCGATAACACACATGCTTCAGTGAATCAAATTAATTTATTTAAATTACATCAAATGTGTTAATAAAATATATGTTTTTTTTTGATTAGTGACTATTTTAGTGGTTACTGTAGGTCAAACTGTACAAAATATGTCTCTAGATTTTCTTTTTTTTTTTTTTAGGCTACATGCCTACATATTTGTTTTGTGAATGTTTAAGATGTCAAACAGTGCTCTAGATCTGCCAGTTTCAGAATGTTGAATGATATTTTCCCTACTATTGACTGGTGCCATTCAATGCATCATCATGCGTTCAATCAAATGCACATTTATATTATACATTTTTAATTTTTAATATTTAGGAAAACTAACATTGAAGAAAGCTATTTCTCCCCCCATACATCTTGTTTTGATGTTCTTCAGGGAGATCAAGCATTAATTAGGAGGGTCAATCCAAACCCCCCTGTAAATTTGCACCATGGTTGTTGGAATAATTAGGTAGAAATAAATGCAGATTATTAGACAATGAAAGTGTTTTTGACCTTGCATGCAGATCAGCCCGTTGTTAGAGACCCCCAAAACCAAATCATGACCTTTTATAATTCATAATAGGGGCTCTTTAAGAGAAATAAATACGTTTTCATTTTCAAAAATAGGATGGAGATGGAAATGTTTCGATTGGTGAACAAGCATATGAATGATAATACTAATGCTGCGTTCACATCAGACCAAGAAGCGCCAAGCATGAGTGATTTACATAAGTCAAGATGCGAATAGACATCCTGCGCAACTTCATTTGCGCGAATCGTGTCATTCGCACCATTGAATTGTTGCAAGTTGAGCGTTTTGCATGATTGACCCATGAATCGCTCGAGTTGGAAAATCTGAACTTTAGCAGACATTCCCGCTGCGTTAACTAATCAGAGTTTTCTCTGGCAGGTGTGTGATTATGACTGCCTGTTATTGGTGTCTTTTTTTCTCAGTTATAATTAAAAGTCCATGTTTGTGTGTAAAATTAAAATGCATTAAAATTATTTAACATTTTTCTTTTAAATGAACTAATCTAAAACTTTTCAGCACTGCTTCTAATAATACTAATTATAAAAGTTCAACAAATCCTGATATTATACTGATTTCTGAAGGATCATGTGACTCTGAAGACTGCAGTAGTGATGCTGGATAAATCAGCTGTACATCACAGATATGTTACACACTCTCAGAAAAAAATGGTACAATGTTGTACCAAAGAAGGTACAAACCCTTGTCACTGGGGCAGTACCTTTGTATGGGACAGAATTGCACCTTAAGACAAAGAAACAAGTGAAGTTTCATAAACTAATTTCGAGAGGAGCACGTGATATGATTGAACACTGCTGGCCACTCATCCGTGATCAGTAATAATCCAATCAGAGTGATCCTAGCTTAATATAAATGGATCACTTTCTCCTTATTGCTCTATCTTCGTTTTGGAAGAATCCTTCTCTCCACACCATCTCCTCCTTTTTATCCCCTTTCTAAAAGGGAAGCTATCGAGACCTACCTGATCTCGGCTCCCCTGACATGCTTATTGACCGGGCGGGAGCCCTGGGCTCAAATATATCCGAGCTCAGGGTTCTCTCCCGGGACAGCATGCCAAACCTGCTTTAAATGCCAAGCATATCTAAGTGGGAACTCTTGAAATTTGGACCGTTGCCGTTTGTAGGACATAATTTGTGCCAAGGGAAACCAAAATGTACCTTTGGTTTTTAAAACCTGCAGATACAAAGTTGTACTTTCATTAAAGGTACAAATCTGATCCTTAAAGGTACGACCACAGTGACAAGACACTTTGTACCTTCACAGTGTCAAAAATGCTTACCAAACATTTATTTAAAATGCCTTTAATGTTTAGTTTACAATGCCTTTAGTGTATTTTTTACCAGGTGTTTTGTAATATTGTATTATAGAACTTAATAATTAAGGTTTATGTTTCTTTCTTCTAGAAATTATTCATAAAATCACTTTGCCTTTCCAGTCATATTTATTTTCACTGGTATTGTAATAAAGATAAAGTTAATCAATACTTTTGAAACCTTTTATATGGGAGCAATTGTGTACCTGCATTTCAATTGTACCATAAAAAGGTACAGAACAGTATAATAAGTCTCTTCTGCATCATATAAGGTACAATCTTTACAGTTTAAGGTACAAAACAGCTCCTCAAGGAACAATATTTGTACCACCGTGTACCTGTTTTTCTGAGAGTGCACCTAACTATATATTCACATCTAAAAATGACATTTAGAACTATGATAATATTTAACATTTTAAATGTATTTTTGATCAAACAAATGCATCCTTGATGCTCAGAGGAGACATACTTTGCAAATTTTAACCGCTAATATTAATGTGTTTCTTCTAACCTCAGGCTGTACAGTTGCTCTTATTTTGCCGCCAAAACACAAGATCAACATGCTTTAATCATCAGTCTCAGATCAGTCGGTTTCCATGGCGATGACGACAGCGTCAGTGGGCGGAGTCACAGATGAGGCAGGCCACGCCTCTTTCCCACCCCCATCCACCGGCAGCTGTCTGGCTCTAGCAGAACAATCCGGACTATCATGAAGATCGTTCACCGTCCCAATGGCGGACTCTGTGGGTAAATTTTCATCTTCATCCTCCTCATCTTCCTCACGTTCAACACGGCAACGGCAAACCTCAATACCAGAGTCTCCGGTCAGCCGTCGCTGCTGAAAGTGTGTTTGGTCCACATCCAGATCACTGACAGCAGAATCGCGGCGCTCGGGTTCAACACCAGGAGAAAACAGAGCGTTTCTGGGTGGAGACTGAGGGGGCGGAGCTACTGGCTCCTCCCTCTTCTGCTCGGGTTGAGCACCAATCGGATCAGAGATGGAAAAGAGATGCGAAGATGAAGTGGAAATGCTAAGGCTGGTGATATTCTTTGTCGTCGGACTGTCAATGTTACTAGTGCTAATCGCTTGGGATGCTTCTAATATCTCGTTATTGTTATTAACGTTATCTGTGCTGCTGCTGCTACTTTTGATCTTCTGCACCACTTTGGAACCTGGAGAGGCGGGGCCTGGAGGCTCTGCTTCCTCAGGCGATTGGTCATTGAGCGCTGGAATGTTCTCGATGTGCATAACTGCTGAGTGGGTGTGGCCAGGCTCATTGAGGGAGGGTGTGGAGGCGTGGCTTGTGTCAGTCTCGTCGGTGAGCTGGGCGGAAGAAGGGGAGGAGCTACAGGGTGAAGACGGACAGCAGGAGTCACAGGAGCAGCTGGTGTAGTTGTCGGAGCTCTGTGATGACATTATGTGACTCGGGCCAGGGTGGGCGGAGCCTCGCGGGTAAGCCACCGAGCTGTAGGGAGGGGGCGGGGTGCTGGGCTGTGCTGCTACTTCCTCATAAGACGGCAGTTTGAGTGATGCGAGAAAACCTGCCAATGAGAACTTAAGGTTAACTAGTGGATCATAGTTTGTGTTCATAACAACGATGTGTTAAAAATGGAAAATTAGCATAGTAAATTCCCTGTGGTAAATATACATCTTAACCTGACTCAAAAGATATCGCCTAACAACATAAGTTTTGCAATACATTGGCACACAAATTTGTTTTTGAGCTTTGTAGTGGTTTATACTTTATCAAACAACGATGTACTAAAAATTGGAAAACTAGCGTAGTAAACACCCCATAGTTAAACGCACACCTTGATCGGACACTTAGATATAGATAGTGGATGTTTTACAGGATGTTTGGCACACAAAAGCATTCTTGGAGCTTCATAGTAATTTATACTTTGTGTACACAACAACGATGTACTTAAAATGGAAAAATAGCATAGTACATTCCGTTTAGTAAGTGCGCAACTTGACCCGACTCAGAAGATTTTGGCAAACAAAGTCGTTTTTACAGTTTTTGGCACATAAAAGTGTTCTTGGAGTTTTGTATGATTACAGTTTAACCACTTAAGTCACATGAGCTGTTTTGACAATGTTTACTGTTTCTTTTCTGGACTTTTCTGAGCGTCTCGGGACCCTTGTTGTCTAGGTAGGATGAGGGAGCTCTCGGATTTCATCTAAAATGTCTTTATTTCTGTTTGAAGATGGGGATTGGAACGACATGAGGGTGAGTAATTAATTACAGAATTTTTTTTTCGGGTGAACTAACTCTTTAATGTTCAAAATTAGAATTTTCGGGGGGTATTTTTTTATGTCTCAAATAAAAATGAAAAAAACTTGAGCATAATAAAGGTCCGTTCACACATAGCATGATAAAATAGTTCTGAATTTAAAACTGAGGTCAGACGACAGCTCTAAACATAAAGATGAAGAGAAACAATTTGGCGTGTTTGTTATTACACAAACTGACCAATCTCTAATTTTACTATGTGATTTTATAGATTACCAAACTGGATTCACTGGTTAGATTCCCTAGTAGCACACTGAGGACACCTGCTGGTTAAAAAAGGTGATGCAAAATTATAAACTCAGTAATTTGTGTTTTTATTCCACTACACTGACTCTAATCGCTAAATTCACTATTAGATTAGGCAGATTACACAAGCTGGATTCACTGGTTAGATTCGCTAGTAGCACACTGAGGACACCTGCTGGTTAAAAGGAGATAATGCAAAAGTATAAACTAAGAAAATTGTGTTTTTATTCCACTACACTGACTCTGATTGCTAAATTTACTATTTGATTAGGCAGATTACACGAGCTGGATTCACTGGTCAGATTTGCTAGTAGCACACTGAGGACACCTGCTGGTCAAAATGAGGTAATGCAAAAAGTATAAACTAAGAAAATTGTGTTTTTATTACACCACACTGACTCTAATGGCTAAATTCACTATTAGATTAGGGAGTTTACAAAAGCTGGATTCACTGGTCAGATACGCTAGTAGCACACTGAGGACACCTGCTGGTTAAAAGGAGATAATGCAAAAGTATAAACTAAGCCATTAGTGTTTTTATGTCACTACATTGACTCTGATTGCTAAATTTACTATTTGATTAGGCTGATTACACAAGCTGGATTCACTGGTCAGATTCCTTAGTAGCACACTGAAAATGCCTGCTGGTTGAAAAAAGGTGATGCAAAAGTATAAACTCAGTAATTTGTGTTTTTATTCCACTACACTGACTCTAATGGCTAAATTCACTATTAGATTAGGCAGATTACACAAGCTGGATTCACTGGTCAGATTCGCTAGTAGCACACTGAAAATGCCTGCTGGTAAAAAGAGCTAATGCAAATAGTATAATTTAAAAAAATCATTCGTCAGTGTGGATGCAAATATGTTTCTATTTAGATTTACAGTCATCGTGCTTGGTGTGAATGGGCCTTAACATGATGAGTGTGAGGTGTTCTTACTGAGGTCAAACATGGAGGACGGGTAGCTGCAAGCTCCGTGATATGCCATCAGGTTGATCTCTCTCTGCCTCTGCTGTTGCTGGACACGCTGCTTAGCCTGACGGTGGCGATATGCGCAGCAGCAGCTAAAGAGGATTAGCATACTCCACAGCAGCCAAAACCCTGAAACACACATACATAAATTAATAATTTCTTTAAGCTAGTTATAGTTAGAGGCATTTACATCGCAAATAATAATAGAAATGTATTATCATAAAAAAAATTTCACTATAAGTAAGGGATAATGCACATCTAGCTGTGGCTATTGCAGAGTGAAGAGTAAAACTGCAGTTTTATTAGCTGTTGTAGAAGACTGAACGGTTTATTCTGAATCAGCACCGGCTGCATCTACATTATGCTGATTATTACACACCTACTGGACCCTACACTGTTAGAACATGTTAAACATTGATCTGAGCTCTTTAATTAAACATAAAACTTGCAGAAAGAAAAACAGCTGAATGGAGCTACACTAACCTACATATTAATATTATAATTCAGTCACTAGATGGCGCCAAACAGCTGAGTGACAGATAAGCACATCATTATTCTCACTGCTATTCGCCGCCAGTTTATCAGGAAGTGAGGATTTTGTTGACTTTGACTTACTGCTTATTATTTGCAAATGTTTTATGTTTATATATTCCAGCTGTGCTCACAAGTCTAACTACCATCTTTGGATGGAAACACAGCATTTTGTTATCATAATTGTGGGTTATTTTATTAACTTTTATTGTAAAAACAGTATAATTAAAGTTATTGAGCTACATTTAAAATGTCTCACAAAAATACCTATTCAATAAAAAATTATTACAAAACATTTTCGAGTTCGGTTTTCATCCAAAAGCATCCAGAGTTTTTGATTTCTGCCCAGAATGTTTATTTTGATGCATCTTTAGCATTGGTGTTTGTTGTTGCTGGACTCACATCACAGCTCATAGTAGTATTTATCAGGAAGTGATGATTTTGTTCTCTTTTGTTTCTAATTGAATGGAAACGCTGCTTTATTTGGCTTATTTATTTTATTTTATTTATGTGATATTCCAGTTTTGCGCACATCTCTAATGGCAACATAGCTACTAAATAACATTTTATTATCAATAAAATTTAGTTATTTTATTGGCTGTTTTCTTTATTGAAGTTACATTTAAAATGTCTCTTTTTTTTTTTTTTAAATCCCCAAAAAATCGAAAATATTTTCATGTATTTTACTAAATTGTCTAATTTATTTTATTATTATTGTTATTTTATTGGCAATGCTGTGGCACAGTAGGTAGTGCTGTTGCCTCACAGCAAGAAGGTTGCTGGTTCGAGCCTCGGCTGGGTCAGTTGGCGTTTTAGTGTGGAGTTTGCATGTTCTCCCTGCGTTCGCGTGGGTTTCCTCCGATTTCCCCAAAGACATGCAGTACAGGTGAATTGGGTAGGCTAAATTGTCCGTAGTTTGTGTGTGTGAATGAATGTGTATGGATGTTTCCCAGAGATGGATTGCAGCTGGAAGGGCATCCGCTGCGTAAAACATATATGCTGGATAAGTTGGCGGTTCATTCCGCTGTGGCGACCCCAGATTAATAAAGGGACTAAGCCCTAAAGAAAATGAATTAATGTTATTTTAATTACTAACAAGCGTCACGGTGGCTCAGTGGTTAGCACTGTGGCCTCACAGCAAGAAGGTCGCTGGTTTGAGTTCCAGCTGGCTCAGTTGGTGTTTCTGTGTGGAGTTTGCATGTTCTCCCCGTGTTCATGTGGGTTTCCTCCGGGTGCTCCGGTTTCCCCCTCAGTCCAAACACATGCGCTATAGGAGAACTGATCAACTAAATTGGCCGTAGTGTATGAGTGTGTGTGTGTGAATGTGAGAGTGTATGGGTGTTTCCCAGTACTAGGTTGAGGCTGGAAGGGCATCCGGTGTGTATAACATATGCTGGAATAGATAGTGGTTCATGCCGCTGTGGCGACCTCTGAACTAGAGACTTTTATGTGATATTCCAGTTTTGCGCATGAATTTAATTCACATTTTTGGATGGAAACACAGCTATTGGTGTGTGTTGCGCAGCACTCACACCACAGCTCATAGTAGTATGTGCAGCAGCCGGTCTCCTGGCAGCAGTGTCCGGTCTGGCACAGGTATCCGCTGGCGCTGTTGGTGCCAGGGCAGTAGCGCGGGCTGCCCAGCAGAGGCAGCGTCCCTGAACTGTGGTACTCCATGCCCTGCAGCAGCGCGTGCCGCCAGCGAAACACTCGCTCCTCCGCTTCCTCCAGAACTGCTGCTACGGCGAGACTGGCGGAGTCTGAAAGACACAAGCGCAATCTGACATCAGTACATCTGCATGATTTTAGATGTTAGTATCAGTGTTGTTAGTCTTAAATGTGCCATGAAGTACTTTAACATGCATTTTTTTATTCAGCGTTTGACATAATCTCAGTCGAAACATGAAGAGAGGGTGGGGCATAGAGTAGCTCCGCCCCTATTTAAAAGACAGCTAATAGCTTTGTGTTTTCGTACAGCTTTGCCCAATAATATCCAGCTGCAGACCTGCAGACCCACACACGCTTTAGGCACACACACAATCTAGCACACACGATGTAGGCAAACCGTACAGTATATGGTTATGACGGATGCTAATGTTATAAACGTCTTCTTGGATATTCATTCATTCCTTATCAACTGCTTTTCCAGGGCCAAGTCGCGAGGGAAGCAGTCTTAGAAGAACCCCAGACTTCCCTCTCCTCAGACACTTCCTCCAGCTCCTCCGGGGGGATCCCGAGGTGTTCCCAGGTCAGCCAAGAGATCCAGCGTGTCCTGGGTCTTCCCGAGGCCTCCTCCCGATGGAACATGCATGGAACACCTCCATAGGTTGGCATTCAGGAGGCATCCGAAACAGATGCCGGAGCCACCTCAGCTGGCTTCTCTGGATGTGGAGGAGCAGCGGCTCTACTCCAAGCCCCTTCCAGGTGACAGAGCTCCTCACCCTGTCTATAACGCCCCCCACTCACACGGGGCTTCAGACTCAATGTTTGACTGAAGGCGTGTCTGAAGTTGAAGCTAAAGCGATCGTCGTATCAGCGTCAGCCAATGAAATTCAGTCAGCAATAGGCCACTGTCTAGCTGGTGTATTTGCATACAGCGATCTGATTCGCTGACTCTTCCGTTGGCGCTTGAAAAGTTGAGCTAGTCCCAACTTCTGCAGCAAGCAACACCTCTGAAGCGGCGCCGACGGATCCACAATGCAGTCCGGCAACGCCTGACGTCACTCATTCAAAGTGAATGGGAAGCGTTGACGCTGACGCCCCGTGTGAAAGGGGCGTAATGCTGTGTTTACACCAGACGCAGAACGCGCGGATAAATCGCGCTATTCGCGCATAAATAGCCGCGTCAGCATTTGAGTTTACTCGCTTCATTCACGCGTCCAATTAACTTCAGAACAGACGTGGATTCACGTGATGGGCGGGGCTTCTGTCTGCCCGGTGACTAAAGGTTCGTTGCTTAAAGGCTAACATGGATTTTATAAAGAAACCAACAGTGTTTATGTACTTTATGAAGGCTGTAAAACAGCGTCGATACGTTTAGGGTCGTTTCTGAGTCCTTTACATGCTTTCAGAGGTGCATCCAGCTCTTTAAGCTCATAGACTCCTCCAGAAACTGAACCTGGATCACGGAGGCTTTCAACGGTGCTTCAGACTGAGCCAAGCCTAGTTTGATGACTTGTTGTCTGTGTCGCCTGGAGGATTTCCCCTGGGACACCATCAACAGGTTCTACGTCACAATCACGCCACCACAAGAGCAAGCTTCTGATTGGTTAACGCGGAGCGAATGTCTGCTAAAGTTCAGATTTTCAAACTCGAGAGATTCGCGCGAAACGCTTGTTAAGCGCGTCAAACGCTCAATTCGCCCCGCGCCATTCGCACAATTTGCGTCATTCGTGCCGCGCCATTCGCATGTATCGCGCCGCAGGATGTCTATTCGCGCGTTTGCATTGACTTAACATGTAAATCACTCCCGCTTGACGCGCACTCCGCGTCTGGTGTGAACGCAGCATCAGAGTACGCTCTGCCACCCTGCAAAGGAAACTCATTTCGGAGGCTTGTATCCAAGATCTTGTCCTTTTGGTCGTGACCCATAGCTCATGACCATAGGTGAGAGGAGGACCATTGATTGACCAGTAAATCAGAAGGACTACCAGAACAACTCTAAGGTTTTAATCTCTTGTTAAGTCAGTTCAGAGTTCAAGTTTAAACTCCGAATTGATGTACCTCCTTACTGAAACAGCCCCCTGGCCCACTAACTTATATATAACAAGTTAGTATCTCCTAACAGTGCAGTTTACAGTTAGTAAAATCTAAATATTAGCCAAATGATAAAGTTTTTGAAAGGTTTTGAAAAATATGGACACAAACACAGACATTTGTGAGATCCTTTACCTGTTGAAGGACACGGGTGTCCATATATACTGTCAGGATCATCTATAAACAAGAAGAAAAAGCATTATGAATTATCCACCATATCTGACATCAACACATTTTTAACCCTAAACTAATATTCTACAAATGCACCATTAATTTAATTGAACACATTTGTGTTAATTATATAAAGTTGAAGACAAATTTACTCTCAATATTTCCCAAGTGATTATTTAACAGAGGGCATCACTGTGGTGCAGTGGGTAGCACGATCGCCTCACAGCAAGAAGGTCGCTGGTTTGAGTCTCGGCTGGGTCAGTTGGTGTTTTTGTGTGGAGTTTGCATGTTCTCCCCGTGTTGGTGTGGGTTTCCTCCGGGTGCTCCGGTTTCCCCCACAGTCCAAACACATGCGCTATAGAAACTAAATTGGCCATTGTGTGTGTGTGTGTGTGTGTATGTGTGTGTATGTATGTGTGTGTGTGTGTGTGTGTGTGTGTGAATGAGTGTGTATGGGTGTTTTCCAGTGTTGGGATTGTGGCTGAAAGGGCATCCGCTGTGTAAAACATATGCTGGATAAGTTGGCGGTTCATTCCGCTGTGGTGACCCCTGATGAATAAAGGGACTAAGCTGAAAAGAGAATTAATGAATAAATGATTAACAGAGGCCTTTTTCACAGTATTTACTGGGGCTGCTCGATTTTAGAAAAATTACACATTGCAATAATTTTTATTCTGTGATATTTATTTTGCGATTATGAATACAATTTTACAAAATGACTTGAATAACTGTTTGAAAAAATATATGATGTAAGATTGATTGAGATGATTGTGTAGGGGACGCATCTGCATAAAATATAAACAATCAAACTAAAAAAAGACACAAATTAAATGAAAAATCTAATGTAAAATAATATTGCATAGTCTTCGTTGTGTAATCAGTTCAATAAATTGTCATTAATATTTTTTATTACAAATGGCACAATTTCTCATGTCTTTACACTTTTAAAACCCTCAAACAGTCACAGAGCCCAAAATACACTTGTAATATGATCAATTATAATCCAGACTCAATATTGTGTACACTCACGATGTGACTATTGTGTATTATGAAATTGTGATATCGATGTTGAAATGACATCGTTGAATTATTAGCCCCTGTTTATTTTTCCCCAATTTCTGTGTAACGGAGAGCAGATTTCTTCAACACATTTCTAATCATAATAGTGTTAATAACTCATCTCTTATAACTGATTTATTTTCTCTTTGTCATGATGACAGTAAATAATATTAGACTAGATATTCTCTTAAGACACTAGTATTCAGCTTAAAGTGACATTTAATGGCTTCACTAGGGTAAATAAGTTGATTAGGCAGGTTATTGTGTAACAAAAAAGACTATCAAAAATATAGCTTAAGGGGGATAATAATATTGACCTAAAAATGGAGTTTAAAAAATAAAAAATTGCTTTTATTCTAGCCAAAATAAAACAAATAAGACTTTCTCCAGAAGAAAAAATATTATCAGACATACTGTGAAAATTTCCAGAATCTGTTAAACATCATTTGGGAAATATATATTTAAAAAAAACTCAAATGGGGGGAAATAATCCTGACTTTAACTGTATATAAGGCTAATAATTTGTTTTTCAACTGTATGTAGTTAACAAAAAGCTGTTATTGGCCTGAAAATATGAGGAAAATTAGGCCAAATATAGATTTTTTTTTCCGCACTGAATTAATCTATATATGTAATCAAACTTTCAAGCCATACATCAGCAAATATCACACACACAACAGGCTCGAACAGAAGCAGATGAAGAACATTACAGATGCTAGCACTGAGCTTCAGCTAAATGATGCTCTGTCTGCACCTGCGGTAATAATAATGATAACTACAACAAAGCTGTGTGTTATAGTAATAATTATACAACAGCACTAACCTTTCTGAAAGCCTAGAGTCCACCTCAGCGATGCCTGTTATTGTGTTAGTATTTTATATCCGTCGTAATGATTTCTGATTCGCTCATTTTCTCCTCATATTCTGCACCGAGCGTCTCCCTCCGTCCGCCATTTTCACCCGCATCAGCAGCACACACGGACGAAAACGCGGTGCTGTTTTAACCGTAAACCGAGCTTTACACGGTAAATTAAGCTAATTACGAGTGTTTTTTACTCGAATACATCATAATCTCATCTTATAACAGACGGCGCCTGGCTGCAGACATCATGTCATGAAGGTTTATCGGATCTGATGCTGATTGGCTGCTGTAGCAGGATGCGGACCAATCAGAGCAGACGTGCGGTTATCCCAGCAACAGTTGAAGACGGTGTGAGCGCATTTATAAAGGGGTGAAGTGTAGAAGGGATACAGCTGCGGATACTCACAGCTGCAGATAGCGTAATTTTTGTGACACTGTAAGACAATAATTTATATTTTTATATTAATTTGAGGGGTTGAGATAGGGGTAGGCGTTAATAAAATACAATGTATTGAGTAATTTAATAAATATTTTGAACAATACGCGGTATAATTACCAGGGAAAAGGGTTATTTCTAGAAGGGATACAGTTGCGGCGAGAAGTTAACGAGAATTATTTAAATTATTTATTAACTGCATTAATTGTATTTTATTAATATATACCCTTACCAAACCCTCACAGTAACGTATTAAAACAGTAGTTACAACGAGTATTATTTATATTATTTATTAAATTACTCAATAAATTATATTTTGTTAAAGTATACCCCAACCAAACCCTCACAGTAAAGTAAAAACTGTATTTATAATGAGAAATATTCATTTTATTTATTGAATAACTTATTAAATTGTATTTTATTTAACGTCTACCACGACTAAATCATCACAGCAATATAAAAACAGTAATTAAAACCAGAAATATTCATATTATTTATTAAATTACTCATTAAATTGTATATATTAACGTCTACCCTTATAAACCCTCACAGTAATGTAAAAACAGTAATTATAGCGAGAAATATTCATATTATTTATTAAATTACTCATCAAATTGTATTTTATTAAAGTATACCTCAACCAAACCCGCGCAATAATATAAAAACAATAATTAAATTGAGTATTATTCATATTATTTATTAAATTACTCATTAAATTATATTTCTTAAAGTTTACCCTATTAAACCCTCACAGTAAAGTAAAAAACAGTAATTATAATGAGTATTATTTATATTTTTGATTAAATTACTCATTAATTGTATTTTATTTAATGTCTACCCCAACCAAACCCCTTAAAGTAAAGTATAAACAGTAATTATAATGAGAAATATTCATATTATTTATTAAATTACTCATTGATTTGTATTTTATTTAACGTCCACCCCTACTAAATCATCACAGCAATATAAAAACAGCAATTAAAACCAGAAATATTCATATTATTTATTAAATTACTCATTGATTTGTATTTTATTTAAAGTCCACCCCTACTAAATCATCACAGCAATATAAAAACAGCAATTAAAACCAGAAATATTCATATTATTTATTAAATTACTCATTGATTTGTATTTTATTTAAAGTCCACCCCGACTAAATCATCACAGCAATATGAAAACAGCAATTAAAACCAGAAATATTCATATTATTTATTAAATTACTCATTGATTTGTATTTTATTTAACGTCCACCCCTACTAAATCATCACAGCAATATAAAAACAGTAATTAAAACCAGAAATATTCATATTATTTATTAAATTACTCATTAATTTGTATTTTATTTAAAGTCCACCCCTACTAAATCATCACAGCAATATAAAAACAGTAATTAAAACCAGAAATATTCATATTATTTATTAAATTACTCATTAATTTGTATTTTATTTAACGTCCACCCCTACTAAATCATCACAGCAATATAAAAACAGCAATTAAAACCAGAAATATTCATATTATTTATTAAATTACTCATTAATTTGTATTTTAATGTCTACCCTTCTAAACCCTCACAGTAACGTAAAAACAGTAATTAAATTAAGTATTATTCCTATTATTTATTAAATTACTCATCAAAATTGTATTTTATTTAACCTCTACCAACCATCAAAGTAATATAAAATGAGTCTCTCAACTGAATCTTGTCAATTTATTTTGTGTTTTCATATATGAATGTATCTTCCACTGTTACTGACTGTATAATGCAAGTAAAGGAAATACAGTAGTAAATATATAAGTGGATAGGAAGCAGTTACTATGGTATACCACTGCAATTTATTACATTGTGCTGTTGTAAATCCTAAAGTATACTATGGCATTTTTCAAGTGAGAAGTAAAGGAGTACACACACAGTACATTAACATAATTCATGCATTCATTTTCTTTTTGGCTTAGTCCCTTTTTTAATCTGGGATCGGCAACTTATCCAGCATGTGTTTTACACAGCGGATGCCCTACCAGCTGCAACCCATCACTGGGAAACATCCACATCACTCATTCACACTCATACACTGTGGAGAATTTAGCTTACCCAATACACCTCATGTCTTTGGTTTTGTGGGAGAAACCGGATCACCCAGAGGAAACCCACGCCAACACGGGGAGAACATGCAAACTCCACACAGAAACACCAACCGACCCACCACTAACTGATCGTGCTACCCACTGCACCACATTTACATAATACATTTTGTAAATAAATATAATCAGTGACGGATAAAGACTTTCCAGATTTACTTTAAAGATGAGTAAAAGACATTCATAAAATAAACATTTTAATCAATTACAGGTGCAAAATCCTGTTTGATCTGCAAAAGAAAAGATAATTATGTTAACTTCATCGTTCGACCACTAGAGGGACTTGAAGGCCTGTTTTTATTAGACGATATTAGTGTTTAATGCGTGACTTTTCAGTCCTGCTGCATAACTTTACAGATGGATTGATGATGTATTTCATCAATTAAAAATGTACTTTTTTATGCATCTATTTAATCATCATCATCCCATTTATTAGCATGTGTTATTCCATATGTAGGCTGATGTGCCCATATTTACCTCACATTTTTTAAACAGATTGGCAGAACTCTTCAGGATGTGGTGTTTGTGGCATAAAGACAAAAGTGTTAAATACTTCTCTCTTTTTCTCACTGCTTACACACACATCTGTCCATCAGAGGAAGAGGAGAGAGAGAAAGAGCGGGTATAATGGCAGCACTTCAGACCTCAGATTTGACGTGTTTGTGTGTTGTTCTGATTTGCTCTGGACTACTGGAGTTCTCTACAGGTATGATTGAGAGACCTTGGCCATATTTACTATCAAACACACTGTGCTTTGTTTTGTTCGAGTAGTTTGCGGTCATTTTAAAGACGGAATTATGGTATTATTCCAATTAAAAATAGATTTAGAAGAAATAACCATTGCAGTTCTGCTTCTATGGGATTTCTGCTTTTAATTTGTTGAGCTTTGCATTGATTTACCGCTAAAATGGAGTGTTACACAAATAGCAGTCTCACCATGGCTACTGTGGGTGCACAATTATCTTTAATACACAGACAGCAGTGTGCTCAGTGGAATGAGAAAATGCATTCAAAAAAATGTAATCAAAGTGAATAAGATGAGGGGACAAGGCTAAATATGTTTGGTCCATCAAATGTTTTTGATACTGATATAAGTTCAAAAGTTTATACTGTAAATCTGTTTCTTGTATATACACACACATACACGCACACACACACTCACACACACACACAGATATATATATATATATATATATATATATATATATATATATATATATATATATATATATATATCTGTGTGTGTGTGTGTGTGTATATGTACATTTATTTATTTTATTTTCAGCTTAGTCCCTTTATTAATCCGGGGTCGCCACAGCGGAATGAACCACCAACTTATTCAGCATATGTTTTACACAGCGGATGCCCTTCCATGTGCAACCCAGTAATGGGAAACATTATATATAATATATAATTATTATTATTAGTAGTAGTATTATATTTCTCAAATGGGGCTAAATGGTTGCGCAGTGGTTAGCACGATCGCCTTACAGCAAGAAGTTCACTGGTTCAAGCCTTGGCTGGGTCAGTTGGTGTTTCTGTGTGGAGTTTGCATGTTCTCCTCGTGTTGGCGTGGGTTTCCTCTGGGTGCTCCGGTTTCCCCCACAGTCCAAACACATGTCATGTGGTACAGGTGAATTGGGTTAGCTAAACTGTCCATAGTGCATGTGTGTGAATGAGTGAGTATGGATGGGTTGCACCTGGAAGGGCATCCGCTGTGTAAAACAAATGCTGGATAATTTGGCGGTTCATTCTGCTGTGGCGACCCTTGATTAATGTAGGGACTAAGCCGAAAAGAAAATTAATGAATGAATATTTCCCAAATGATGTTGAACAGATTCAGTTGTTCTTCTAGAGAAAGTCTTATTTGCTTTATTTCGGCTAGAATAAAATCAGTTTTTAATTGTTTTAAACCCATGTTAAGCTCAAAATTATTAACCCTCCTTGAGCAATATTAGTTTTAGATTGTCTACAGAACAAACCACTGTTATACAATGACTTGTTATAATTATTAAATAACTCCCAGAGTTAAATTAGATTAGCTTAAAATCACTAAATCAGATTAGACCATTAGCCTCTCGCTTCAAAATGCAAAAATGTTACTGAAGATTATCTGAATGGATTAAAAATGGTAAAATGATGTATAACTATATTAAAAAGCAGTAGATTACAAATGTAAGCTTGTTTAATATGTATTGTGTGTTCAGGTTGTTCAGTATATTAGTCAGTGATCAGCTGTTCTCCAGGAGAGTCTGTGCTGCTGCCCTGCGGAGACGCCGGACACTCAGACGTCCAGTGGTTTTACTCAGAGTTCACATCTGCATCTCCTGAATACTCTGTGTTTCCAGCGGACGACATGAAGGTGCAGAGATTTAAAGACAGAGTTCAGATTCACAGAAATCACTCACTGTCTATCACTCATCTGACTGTTGACGACACTGGAAAGTACAGGTGTCTCAGTAACACCATTCAGCTAACTGTTGAAGGTGAGGAGCGTTGGTTATTACTGTAATAACAGTATATGCAGACCAGCTATAAACGTCAATCTTTTAGTTAGTGCCGGTTATATATTCATAACATCATTCATAAATTAGTGTTTGTTTTCTAGCACTTATAGAATTATTATGTGACTAAGTAAATACTGAAAAAATACTATAGTAGTTTATATATATATATATATATGTGTGTGTGTGTGTGTGTGTGTGTGTATGTATTGGTGTATTGTAGTATCATATAATCTGTAGTTGTAGAAAACTGCAGTATTGGCTCATTTGTATATATTACTAGAATTGCGAATTGCTGTTACCATAGCAACTGTAGTATCACCACAACAGATCAACTACTACATTTGTTGTGTTACCGTATCTATTACAGAATTACTACCATGGATCAATTACTACAGGTAATGTGTTACCATAATAACTATAGAATTACCACAACAGATCAATTACTGCAGTTGTGTTACCATAACAACTATAAAATTACTGCGCCAGATCGATTACTACGGTTGTTGTTACCATAGCAACTATAGAATTGCCACAACAGATCAATTACTGCAGTTGTGTTACCATAGCAACTATAAAATTACTGCAGCGGATTGATTACTACAGTTGTTGTTACCATAGCAACTATAAAATTGCCACAACAGATCAATTACTGCAGTTTTGTCACCATAGCAACTATAAAATTACTGCAACGGATCGATTACTACGGTTGTTGTTACCATAGCAACTATAGAATTTCCACAACAGATCAATTACTGCAGTTGTGTTACCATAGCAACTATAAAATTACTGCAACGGATCGATTACTACAGTTGTTGTTACCATAGCAACTATAGAATTGCCACAACAGATCAAATACTGCAGTTGTGTTACCATAGCAACCATATAACTACTGCAAAGGATTGATTACTACAGTTGTTGTTACCATAGCAACTGTAAAATTGCCACAACAGATCAATTACTGCAGATGTTACCATATCAACTATAAAATTATTGCAACGGATCGATTACTACAGTTGTTGTTACCATAGCCACTACAGTTGTTGTTACCATAGCAACTATAGAATTGCCACAACAGATCAATTACTGCAGTTTTGTCACCATAGCAACTATAAAATTACTGCAACGGATCGATTACTACGGTTGTTGTTACCATAGCAACTATAGAATTTTCACAACAGATCAATTACTGCAGTTGTGTTACCATAGCAACTATAAAATTACTGCAACGGATCGATTACTACAGTTGTTGTTACCATAGCAACTATAGAATTGCCACAACAGATCAAATACTGCAGTTGTGTTACCATAGCAACCATATAACTACTGCAAAGGATTGATTACTACAGTTGTTGTTACCATAGCAACTGTAAAATTGCCACAACAGATCAATTACTGCAGATGTTACCATATCAACTATAAAATTATTGCAACGGATCGATTACTACAGTTGTTGTTACCATAGCCACTACAGTTGTTGTTACCATAGCAACTATAGAATTGCCACAACAGATCAATTACTGCAGTTTTGTCACCATAGCAACTATAAAATTACTGCAACGGATCGATTACTACGGTTGTTGTTACCATAGCAACTATAGAATTTTCACAACAGATCAATTACTGCAGTTGTGTTACCATAGCAACTATAAAATTACTGCAACGGATCGATTACTACAGTTGTTGTTACCATAGCAACTATAGAATTGCCACAACAGATCAAATACTGCAGTTGTGTTACCATAGCAACCATATAACTACTGCAAAGGATTGATTACTACAGTTGTTGTTACCATAGCAACTGTAAAATTGCCACAACAGATCAATTACTGCAGATGTTACCATATCAACTATAAAATTATTGCAACGGATCGATTACTACAGTTGTTGTTACCATAGCCACTACAGTTGTTGTTACCATAGCAACTATAGAATTGCCACAACAGATCAATTACTGCAGTTTTGTCACCATAGCAACTATAAAATTACTGCAACGGATCGATTACTACGGTTGTTGTTACCATAGCAACTATAGAATTTTCACAACAGATCAATTACTGCAGTTGTGTTACCATAGCAACTATAAAATTACTGCAACGGATCGATTACTACAGTTGTTGTTACCATAGCAACTATAGAATTGCCACAACAGATCAAATACTGCAGTTGTGTTACCATAGCAACCATATAACTACTGCAAAGGACTGATTACTACAGTTGTTGTTACCATAGCAACTGTAAAATTGCCACAACAGATCAATTACTGCAGATGTTACCATATCAACTATAAAATTATTGCAACGGATCGATTACTACAGTTGTTGTTACCATAGCAACTATAAAATTACTGCAACGGATCGATTACTACAGTTGTTGTTACCATAGCAACTATAGAATTGCCACAACAGATCAAATACTGCAGTTGTGTTACCATAGCAACCATATAACTACTGCAAAGGATTGATTACTACAGTTGTTGTTACCATAGCAACTGTAAAATTGCCACAACAGATCAATTACTGCAGATGTTACCATATCAACTATAAAATTATTGCAACGGATCGATTACTACAGTTGTTGTTACCATAGCCACTACAGTTGTTGTTACCATAGCAACTATAGAATTGCCACAACAGATCAATTACTGCAGTTTTGTCACCATAGCAACTATAAAATTACTGCAACGGATCGATTACTACGGTTGTTGTTACCATAGCAACTATAGAATTTTCACAACAGATCAATTACTGCAGTTGTGTTACCATAGCAACTATAAAATTACTGCAACGGATCGATTACTACAGTTGTTGTTACCATAGCAACTATAGAATTGCCACAACAGATCAAATACTGCAGTTGTGTTACCATAGCAACCATATAACTACTGCAAAGGACTGATTACTACAGTTGTTGTTACCATAGCAACTGTAAAATTGCCACAACAGATCAATTACTGCAGATGTTACCATATCAACTATAAAATTATTGCAACGGATCGATTACTACAGTTGTTGTTACCATAGCAACTATAGTTGTGTTACCGTAGCAACAACAGGATTACCACAACAGATCATTTCTAGTACTTTGTCCTGGTTTAAAAACCTCACAGTATTTACTCTAAATGACTATAGTAATTTTTTATGAGGTATTTATAATCTAATGTGTGATTGTTTGTCGTGTCTGCAGGTTGTTATGTGTTAGGAAATGAAAGATCAGTGGAGGTCAGCAGATATTCAGGAGATTCTGTGTTTCTCTCCTGTTTGATCAAATGTTCCACTCGACACAATCCAGCATCAGAGATCAGATGGAAATTACCCAACCACCGAGAAGTAAATAACTCTACTGGACTGAAGACACCCGATGGAGGCGGATTTCACATGTTTGACACCAACTCAGGGAATCTCACTCTGCTGATTTCTGACCTGACGGAGAAAGATGAAGGACTGTATTCATGCTGGATCAATGAGAATCAACACAAGAGCTTCAGTCTCACCATTAAAGGTAAAGAAATGGTGTGCTTTAAGAGATGTTGCCTCTGTTCAAGGTAAAACACATTCAGCTTCACAGACTACTTACTAGATGTTTGCTTTAAAATCAGTTTAAAACCTTAAACTATAATGCACCCACACCAACACGGGGAGAACATGCTAACTCCACACAGAAACACCAACTGACCTAGTTAGGACTCGAACCAGCGACCTTGTATATTAATTGCAGTAAATAACTGTAAAACAATGTTGTGCTCCTGCAGGCTGTGCTTTACCCGATCATCATCCTCATATTGTCATGATCTCAGATGTGGGGGAGTCTGTGCTGCTTCCGTGTTTCTGTGAAGATCCACAAACCAAACCCAAACACTTTGAATGGAGGCGCTCGGCTGAGAACGAGACGCTGCTTTCAGATGTTGAAGAATTGAACAGCAGATTTCAGACGATCAGAGATTCTGCTCATAATCTCTCCTTGTGGATCTGGAACCTGACGGAGGCCGATGGAGGAGTATATACATGTACAGTCAATGGAAAACACTCCACAAACATTCATCTCACTCTTACTGCAAAAACAAGTAAGACCAAGAGCTTGTGTGAAGCTTCAGATTAAAATAAGCAGCACATTAATAAGCATTATTTATACATTATTCATTTTTTGGGTTCAAAATTAACTTTTTTATGATGTTCATGGTTTTTTAAAAGTATTTTAATTCCTCTAACCTAACAAAAAAATGTGAAAAATGCAAGTATGAACAGGATTGAAAATGTAGGTATTGAACAGACGGAAATTATATAGTGACGTTCAGTATAAATTACGTTTATTATAAACACCAAGCCTGAACTTCCAAACATCCAAACATTCTTCAAAATATCTTATTTTGTGTTCAACAGAAGAAAGAAACATAAATCTTTTATAAGCAATTTTAATGGTGATGTGTCATGATGATGGTTGTTGGCATTACAGAAACGGTTCACTCATTTATTTCTCATTAAGACATTTTTTTCTGTTTTCTCAGATCCTGAAGATTTCACCTCAAATACTCTGACATGCTCTCTGATATCTCTCATCTGTCTGATGCTCATTCTGTTAGTGACTAGATGCATTTACTGGAGATTCACTACAGGTTTGAACAAGCATACACACACCATAAAAACAACGCTAAAGATGGCTTACATTTAATTTATTTTATTTATTTATTCAGTTTATATTCTGTTTAGCTGGGTGGATTTTTAGATACCAATTAAAGATTACAAAACAAAGACAATCTATACAATTCTCAATGCTATATGACTACTTTTACATTACATTTAGATTACTTTTATTGGCAATGCAATCTGACTACTTTTGGATTACATTTAGATTACTTTTATGGTAGCGTAATCTGACTACTTTTAGATTACATTTAGATTACTTTCATTGGCAATGCAATCTGACTACTTTTGGATTACATTTAGATTACTTTTATGGTAGCGTAATCTGACTACTTTTAGATTACATTTAGATTACTTTCATTGGCAATGCAATCTGACTACTTTTGGATTACATTTAGATTACTTTTATGGCAATGCAATCTGACTACATTTGGATTACATTTAGATTACTTTTATTGGCAATGCAATCTGACTACTTTTGGATTACATTTAGATTACTTTTATTATCAATGCAATCTGACTACTTTTGGATTACATTTAGATTACTTTTATGGCAATGCAATCTGACTACATTTGGATTACATTTAGATTACTTTTATTGGCAACGCAATCTGACTACTTTTAGAAAACAGCAGAATTACAACAACCAGTATTGAAAAGCATGAAATTCTCAGAAATACCAGCTGTGACATCAAATATTTAATCTAAAAAATACGATGTAATGTAATAATGAAAAAAACAGCAATATTGCATGTCACCATAAATGTATTACATGTGTTAAAAAGGAGAAAAAATGGGAGGATCAATGAATTGTGAGCAGTTAACTACCATTGTGTAAATAATATGTAATCCATAACAAAGTAACTGTAGTCTGATTACAAGTGTTTTAAAAAGTAGTTTACTCTAATTACATGTTCTTGATATTTTTAAACTGATTACATAATCCAGAATACACATAAACCAGCTCTGTTTATGCCTGTAAGTAAATCTGCAGCTAGGTACGTTTAATGGCTACTTTTGGATAACATTTAGATAACTTTTATTGGCAACACAATCTGACTACTTTTGGATTACATTTAGATTACTTTTATTGGCAACACAATCTGGCTACTTTTGGATTACATTTAGATTACTTTTAGGCAAACACAATCTGACTACTTTTGGATTACATTTAGATTACTTTTATGGCAACACAATCTGACTACTTTTGGATTACATTTAGATTACTTTTATGGCAATGCAATCTGGCTACTTTTGGATTGCATTTAGATTACTTTTATGGCAACACAATCTTACTACTTTTGGATTACATTTAGATTACTTTTATGGCAATGCAATCTGACTACATTTGGATTACATTTAGATTACTTTTATGGCAATGCAATCTGGCTACTTTTGGATTACATTTAGATTACTTTTATGGTAATGCAATCTGACTACTTTTGGATTATATATAGATTGGTCTTATGGTAATGTAATGTATTAATGAAAAAAACAGCAATATTGCATGTCACCATAAATGTATTTCATATGTTAAAAAGAAGGAAAATGGAAGCTCTGCTTATGCCTGTAAGTAAATCTGCAGCTAGGTAAATTTACTGGCTTATTGTGCGTGATAAGCTATGAGTATTTAAAGCTTTGTTTAATTTTACAGAGAAAGAAAGAAGCAGACGAGTGATCCAGAGAACAGATGATGAGGTGAACTTTTCATAACAAGATAAACAAGAATAAAACGCAAATTAAATGTCATTTGTGTGTCTAAACGTGTGTGTTAATAGGATGCGGTGACGTACTCCACTGTGACTCTTATTAAAGGCAGAAAAACAGCAGAAAAACAACAACAACAGGTACGTAAAGTATGTGTGGAATCAAAATGTACAATATTTATTTTGCTAGCGCACATCGCTTTAGGTGAACAATTAATCTGCTCGACTTAATCCACTGAAATTAACAAGGATTAATTAGTTTGTTTAGGTAGTCTTCATTCTTCAGTCTGAGCCTCTGCTTCTGCGTTTGGATTGGCTCCTTCTCAGATGATGTCAGTATGATGCTCCACCCAGAATATTCTTAGCCACGCCCCTCTTATTGTTAGTTTGCTATGAGAGAATGATGCACAAACAGAAAGCCCCGCCCCTACTCAATATTCAATTTCATTTGGAAGTAACATACTGAATTATGTTGATGCACACTGTGATTGACATTCTCTCTTTGTACGTGTCATCAGAGGGGGAAAGCCCCGCCCACTAGTGCCCATCTCTCCATCTCATTAGCATGTCCAGCAGCCCTGAGTGAGAAGCAGCCATCTGTCCATTAGCCATTAGAGTGTTTGAGCTGCTGAAGATAATGTCAGCATAGAGGATTATAGATGTGGAGTTCTAGATGAACAGAGACAGGAGCGACATAGACTGACAGATGAAGCACATGCTCACGCTGAAGCACACCTGACCAGCACTCACAACACACACACTGCTGATTTACATCTGTCACTATGATGGTGTAGCTCCACCCTCTTCTGAAAAAGAGCACAATCTCATTTGCATTTAAAGCGACAGCCACCTAAACACCACAATTAGGATCAAAGCCTAAAAGGGTCAGAGAGCTGGAGAACATGATCTGTGTGATATTCTCAGCTCAATCTCAAACACACACACCCGAGATGTGCATTTTACATCTTGTATATAGAACAGCTCCCCATTAATACAATCCTCTTGTCAGAAAATATCAGCAGTTTCAGTATTTCAGTGTCATCTCTTCTTGAAATAACTCAGTGTAATCCTGTTTATATGAACTAAGCCTGAAGTGCAGCAGGTTTGAGTTTACAGGCCTGAAAAATGAATATATTCTGAATTAAATCTTCTATAATCGAGGCCAGTTAACAGAGTAATGCACATTTGAGGCCCTGATCATGCTGGTTTAACAACACCAATAGATCAGTAGAACAGCTGTGTGAGGCTGTGGTGTTCTGCACAGTCATTATTACTCTCGTTTCCTCATTCAGAAATGCTGCAGTTCCACTATTGTTGTGGACTTGTGCATGCTTTTGTAACGGAGTGTGTGTGTGTGTGATATAAAATCTGAAAAAAGTTTTTATTTCCCCAAATTTGTTTTATTTTTCCCAAATTCCCAATTCTTTGATTCACATTTTCTGTATTGTTATTTTTAAAGTATTTTGTTTTTAAATCAGCCGGTTTGAATACTCACATTTTAAACTCTACTGTCAGTGTGTTTCACGGGATCAGTGTGTGTGTTCGGGTGTTAACAGAGGCGCTGTTGATCTATACAGGATGATGTGATTTATGCAAGAGTTGCACCAAACAAAGCCGAGGCTGCGGTGAGTGTCAGTGAGCTTTAAATATTCAGACAATATACTGTACATGTACAATATCTGCATGCCTTCATAATAATAATCTATTTCCATATTTCTACTAGACGATGACAATAAATGTAAACCTCTAATATATGATCTATCTATCCATCTATCCATCCATCCGTCTGTCCACCCATCCTTCCATCCATCCATTCGTCCATCCGTCTATCTATCTATCTATCTATCTATCTATCTATCTATCTATCTATCTATCTATCTATCTATCTATCTGTCTATCTATCTGTCTGTCTGTCTGTCTGTCTGTCTGTCTGTCTATCTATCTATCTATCTGACTAGATATATCTGTCATTCATCCATCTCCATCCATCTCCATCTATTTATCCATCCATCTTTCTGACTAGATGTATTTCATTTATCCATCTCCCTCCATCCACCCATCCATCCATCTATCCATCCATCCATCCATCTCTCTGTCCATCCATCCATCTCTCCATCCATTCACCCATTTCTCCATCCATCCGTCCATCCATCCATCCATCCATCCATCCATCTATCTATCTGTCTGTCTGTCTGTCTGTCTGTCTATCTATCTATCTATCTGTTGTTCATTTATTCATCCATCCATCCATCTATCTATCCTTCCATCCATCTATCCATCCATCCATCCATCCATCCATCCATCCATCCATCTATCTATCTATCTATCTATCTATCTATCTATCTATCTATCTATCCATGTATCCGTCCGTCCATCCATCCATCCATCCATCCATTCATCCATCCATTCATCTCTGTCCATCCATCCATCTCTCCATCCATTCACCCATTTCTCCATCCATCCATCCATTCGTCTGTCCGTCCATCCATCCATCCATCCATCCATCCATCCATCCATCCATCCATCCATCCATCCATCCATCCATCCATCCATCCATCCATCCATCCATCCATCCATCCATCCATCTATCTATCTATCTATCTATCTATCTATCTATCTATCTATCCATGTATCCGTCCGTCCATCCATCCATCTATCCGTCCGTCCGTCCGTCCATCCATCCAAAAAAAACCCACGGGAAAAGAATTGTCTAGATTGATGTCATGTAAACGCAGCCTTAGTTTATATTAAATAATCATAGCAATTTCTGAGTGAAAAACTGATTTTCATTACTCTTTGCTGATGAAAATACTGAAGATCGTGTACTTTTTTGAATATGCAGTTTGATCACTTCATTACAGGTTCTGCTAGCCAGGTCACAGCGCCAAATACTGGCCTGGCATACATAATGCAGCATTTTATGGTCATTTTTGCATGTGATGTGTTAACGAGGATCATTTTGACAATGTTTTTTGTGTGAGCGTGACGTTTGTTTTAAATGCAATGGAGAGCCCTGAAGGGGAAACATTTTTTGGGCTGCATTGTTGTTGTGTAAACGCAACCTTAGTTTGTATTAAATAATCGTAGCAATTTCTGAGTGAAGATTTTTGTGTTTAGGTTTAGTCTGAGTCTGTATGTCCATCCAAAAAATATATAATTGTGTAATATCTGTGTTTACCATCTCCACAGGGTGATTTTACATACTCGCCCATTGTCTACAGCAAACCGCAAAACCCTGAAGTCTCCTCCGTCTACGCAAGTGTGCAAAAGGATAAAAAGTGACACAAACACACACAAGTTTGATTGTTTAACAATATTCGTAAAGCATTTTAAGCCTCTAACATAGCTTGCTTATACTGTTTAAATTGCTTAATTTCATATAGCTACAAAAAGATTTTAGCAAAAAAACAAAACCTTTGCATATGAAAATAAAAAACAAAACAAACATAATAAAATGTTTTATGATATATTTTCTATTTTAATATATAAAAACAATATATATATATATATATATATATATATATATATATATATATACAGATACAAACATACAAAAAAATACCATTGTCAGAAACCTTTAATCTTATATATTCATCCATTTCTCTCACACATTTTGGGGTGGAATTAACATATTAAAATTAAACGTGTGTTTATATTTGGTTATTAACAAATCATTCCTGCATCAAATATAATTTTATGAATCAGAAGATGAGCTTTTCTACATGAAAAAGTCATTGATTTAGTTTTTATAAATGTCTAGAGCAACATTAATGTTGTTTAAAATAAACCTGTACTGTAGGATTGATTAATTGTGGGCCGTTTTTGAGCAATCATGAATCATTAAAGTCATCTTAAGCTGTAAACAGATTAAAGTGATTTTCTACAAGAGTTCCAGCTTTGGTTTCTTTATTTAAAGATCTCAAACAGAAGCTACAAAAAAAAAGTCAAATGATAATAATATTTACAGGCAGATTCTTCAGTCTCAGACATTTCATTTACAGACATGAAACAGAAGAGAACAAAATAAACCCGTTTTGACATGTGGAGAGAGATCTGATCATTACAGCGTTCACAGCTTTACAGGACTCTGAGCTACAGCTTATACTCACACTCCATTGACTGATTATTCACTGTAATCCTATGGAGACTCAACTGTTTGTGGACAACGCTACAACAGATTATTTCAATTGAAAGTGAAATAGTAATACAGTGGATGCATGTTAAACCAGCGCGTGTGTGTGTGTGTGTTTTTCAGTGTTTGTATGTGTGTGTGCATGTTTGATTATGTGATTGTGTGTGTTTGTATGTGTGTAGATGTGTATGATCTTGAGTGTGTTTGTGTGTTGGTGTACACAGCTGAAGTTATATATAAATACAGTATATAAGTAAGCCATAACATTATATCAGACACACACACACACACTTTCGTCTGTAAACTCCAGAGCTTCTGTCCCTGAGTTTGTGTTTCTAATAAATAAGGAAAGCGCTATTGTCCATCACACACGTCTGTGCTGTTCTTGTGTGCATCACATCATGCTACTTCAACAGAGTTTACACCACAGCGCTGGCTGATTACAGCTCAACTCTTCCTGCTTTATAGATGCTTATTTACATGTTTTCAGTCTGGAAATGCTGATTTTTACAGTCTCGACAGCTCTGAGGCCAGATTCACCAAACCGTCTTCAGTCAGTATTCCATTTCCCATCTTAACATACATTATAAGCATACTGACTGATTAATGAATTCATCCATCCTGTCATTCATCCATTCATTTATCCATCCATTCATTCTTTCATTTATTTATTTATTGATTCGTCCATCCATTTATTCATCCTTCCGCTCATTTATCAATCCATTCATTCATCCATCCATCCATCCATCCATTCTTTCATTTATTCATTCATTTATTCGTCCATCCATCCATTCATTCATCCATCCATCCATTCATTGATTCGTCCATCCATTCATATATTCATCCATCCATCCATTCTTTCATTAATTCATTTATCCATTCATCCATTCTTTCATTTAATCATTCATTGATTCGTCCATCCATTCGTTCATCCATCCATCCATTCTTTCATTTATTCATTTATTGATTCGTCCATCCATTCATTTTTTTCATTCCTTCATTTATCCATCCATTAATCCATCCATCCATTCTTTCATTTATTCATTCATTGATTCGTCCATCCATCCATCCATCCATTCTTTCATTTATTCATTGATTCGTCCATCCGTCCATCCATCCATTCATTCATCCATCCGTCCATTAATCCATTCATTCATCCATTCATTCTTTCATTAATTCATTCATTGATTTGTCCATCCATCCATACTTTTATTCATCCATTCATTCATTCATTGATTCACCCATTCATCATTTCATTTATCCATTCATTGATTGATTCGTCCATCCATCCTTTCGTTCATTAATCCATCCTTTTAATTATCCACTGTTTCACTTGTATTCATCCATAATTCATTCATTCAATGATTTACTCATCCATCATCCTTTTATTTATCCATTCACTGATTCATCTATACATCAGTCATTTCATTAATTTATTCATTCATTCATCCACCCATCCATCAGTTCTTTTATTAATTAATTAATTCATTCATCCACTAATTGATTTACCCATCCATCCTTTCATTCATCCATCCATTTTCTTTATTCTATTCATTTATTGATTTATCCATCCATCCTTTTATTCATCTATACAGTCATTGACTGATTGATTCATCCATCTATCCATCAGTCCTTGGATGATCCATCCATGATCCATCCATCCATCCAATCATCAATTCATTCAATAATTCATTCATCCAATCAATTCATTCATTAATTTATTCATCCATCCATCCATTCACAGATTCATCCAACCATTCATCCATTTGTTGATTCATTCATCCATTCATCCATCCATCCATTTTTATTTCTTCATTGTATTATACACTGTAAAAACTTTTATAAATGAGCAGTTTTCCCTATTTTGTGATTTGTGTTTTTATCCTTAATTTTCATTATTTGAATAAATTTTTTCTGATGATTTTCCTGAATTCGGCCCATTTAAACAACCAAAACAACATTTTCAACAACATTTCTGATCAATCTGTGTGAACCGTGTGTTTTCAAAAATTTTCAAAAGTGCAAAGAAAAAAGTTTGAGTTCATGTCTGTGGTGTAAACACTCTCCTCCTCTTCAGTTTTACCTGAGCTTTACTATTAGCAGCCGTGAGACAAACTCACTCCCCAGGATTAATCCCAGTAAGCATTTCATTTCATCACTAAATCTTATGTAAATTCTTCCTCGATATGACTTACAGTACAAACATGTTTAAATAGCGATGCATTTACCAAACAACTGCTTCTAATTGGATTTGGATTGTAAAAATTCCCTAAAAGTCAAGTTATTTATTTGTTTTTCTGCATATGTTTTGTGTTTTTTTCTAATTTATTCTGCATTAATTAAGTTAATTTTTTTGAATAGAACTATGCGCAGGAATACCCAGAAAGATCCACAGGTTGTGTCTGGTCCTGATTCATATGTATTGCTGAGGTTTCTGGGCGTTTTTTGCGGCTGGATTCACATTTTTGGGTTTCTCTGCAGATTCTCCATGACAGGAGGACGATGCTTCTGAGAAAACACAAAACATGATTATATTCCACAATTAAACACTTTCCTGATGGTGTCGCACTGCAAACATTCTTTACTTGAGAGGTTGCTTCTTGTTTCTTGTATATCTACAGATTATTTAATCAAGAAGCATTTCCTAGACCAGCATACCATATTGGGCTCTATCATACACCCGGCGCAATAAAGAGCAAGACGTGTTTTGATCGATTTGCTGCTATTTTCAGACCAGTGCAACCATAAGTTTTGCTCCACGTTGTTTAAAAAGCAAATCCATTTGCACTATGTGGGCTTATGTGTGTCCAGGTCCATATAGGAGGTGTGTTAAGGTGCATTGTTGGAGCGTTGCTTTTTTGAGGAACTGAAATAGCCGCGCCATTGACCAACTAAAAGCTGCTCTAAAGTCCAGCAGAGTGTGTTATTTATGAACCTATGCAGGTCCAAACACTTACACACTGCTGAATACACACAGGATGTACAGCAACACACACTTTACAGATGAAAACAGTTAATATACATAGATATAAACAGCACTGTCTCCATGCCTTCTTCACCTGGGTGGGCTTTTTCAGTTTATTTATGACGATCTGCATCTGTATAATGTTATTATTAGCAGTATTATTTATTATATGCAGATTTATAATAAACACAAGTGTAGATTTTTGCATCACCATATGGGGCATTTAACAAATTACAGTAACTTTATAAGTTGGTTCAAAGTCTAATTTTCTTCAGTGTACTTCCTTAATAACTATTAATAAAGGTCCAACTAGCTGTTAGCATGACATCTACCTCTATATGTGCTTGTGGAGCTAATGTTGTTTGATCAGTTTCTGAGTGTGTGTGTGTGTGTGTGTGTGTGTGTGTGTGTGTGTGTGTGTGTGTGTGTGTGTGTGTGTGTGTGTGTGTGTGTACGTGTTTTTGTGACATATCAGGACACAAATCTGTATAATGACATGGGTATGACACAGGTATTACAAAAAGGAGGTGAAATATGAGGACATTGGTGACGTCCTCATTTCTCAAAATGCTTATAAATCCTACAGAATGAGTTTAATCAGAGAGTAAAGCTGCACACTGTCTCCTGTGGTGGTTGGGTTTAGGAGTGGGGTGGGGTGAGGGCAATATAATATATGGTTTGGGCTGCATAAAATGAATGGAAACCTATGTAATGTCCCCACTTTTCACAAAAACAAACGTGTGTGTGTGTGTGTGTGTGTGTGTACGTGTGTGAGTGTTCGTGTTGTGCGTGTCTGCGTGTGTGTCTTACTCTGCAGATTTGATATGGCGTGCTCCAAACCCTTCATGGCTTTCAGCTGATTACTCCTGAATCTGGCCAAACCAAACTCCTGAAGCAACAACACACACATAACAAGACAGATCTCGTCATGCCTTTTTTTAGTGCTACCATATAGAAAAATTATACAAGCCAATATATGCAAATTCAATATAGGACATACAAGTTCATATTTGGATTTCAGATACAGTTGAAGTCAGAATGATTAGTCCCCGCTGTTTATTTTTCCCCCAATTTCTGTTTAACATAGAAGCAGATTACTCCAACACATTACTAATCATAACAGTGTTAATAACTCATCTCTAATAACTGATTTATTTTCTCTTTGTCATGATGACAGTAAATAATATTAGACTAGATATTCTTCAAGACACTAGTGTTCAGCTTAAAGTGACATTTAAAGGCTTCACTAGGGTAATTAGGGTAACTAGGCAGGTTAGGGTAATTAGGCAAGTCATTGTATAACGATGGTTTGTTCTGGAGACTATCGAAAAATATATAGCTTATAGGGGCTAATAATATTGACCCTAAAATGTTTTTTTTTTTATTTAAAACTGCTTTTATTCTAGCAAAAATAAAACAAATCAGACTTTCTCCAGAAGAACAAATATTATCAGACATACTGTGAACATTTCCTGAATCTGTTCAACATCATTTGGGAAATATTAAAACATGTATAAATAAATAAAAGGGGGGCGAATAATTCTGACTTCAACTGTACATAAAAGATATGTTGTCTATGTATATATTTCCAAATGTCACCAAATTGGCAGCTAGCATATATATTTTCAACCATTGTAATTACAATTCAGCACATACATGTTGAAATATATTACATATTATTGCATATTAGTGCTGGGCAAAGATTAATCGCATCCAAAATAAACATTTTGGCATAATATATGAGTGTGTGTACGTGTGTGTTATAAATAATTTTTATGTTCATGTCTTACACACACACACATATAAAAACAATAACTATACAAAACAGTGTTGTAAAATATTTGAATTTATATAATAGGAATTTATATAATATAAATAGGCATTTCCCCAAATATATGTAGGTATGTGTGTATTTATGTATAAATAATAAATACAGACAGTACACACACAAAACTGAATTTTATTTTAGATTTATTTTTTGCTCAGCACTACAATTTATATTATTACATTATATATGTAATTATCATATACGGTATGAATACGTATAGCAAATATATTTTAACGTATATTTAAAATTACAAAGGTTGGAAAAAATATTTAAAAAAACATGTTACATATATAACATTTTGTATATGTGAAATACATACTTGTATGTCACATATACACTCAGCGGCCACTTTATTAGGTACACTTGTCCAACTGCTGGTTAACGCAAATTTCTAATCAGCCAATCACATGGCAGCAGCTCACTGCATTTCGGCATGTAGACATGGTCAAGCGAATCTGCTGCAGGTCAAAGCGAGCATCCGAATGGGGAAGAAAGGGGATTTAAGAGACCTTGGAACGTGGCATGGTTGTTGCTGCCAGACGGGCTGCTCTGAGTATTTCAGAAACTGCTGATCTACTGGGATTTTCACGCACAACCATCTCTAGGGTTTACAGAGAATGCTCCGACAAAGAGGAAATATCCAGTGAGCGGCAGTTCTGTGGGCGCAAATGCCTTGTTGAGGTCGGAGGTCAGAGGAGAATGGCCAGACGAACAGTATTACACAGAAAGGCAACAGTAACTCAAATAAGCACTCGTTACAACCGAGCTCTGCAGAAGAGCATCTCTGAACACACAACACGGCCAACCTTGAGGCGGATGGGCTACAGCAGCAGAAGAGCACACCGGGTGCCGCTCCTGTCAGCTAAGAACAGGAAACTGAGGCTACAATTCACACAGACTCACCAAAACTGGACAATAGAAGATTGGAGAAACGTTGCTGCTCTGATGAGTCTCCATTTCTGCTGACACATTCGGATGCTCGACTCACAATTTGGCCTCAACAACATGAAAGCATGGATCATCCTGCCTTGTATCAGCGGTTCAGGCTGGTGGTGGTGGTGTAATGGTGTGGGGGAGATTTTCTTTGGGTCCATTAGTACCAATTGAGCATCAACGCCACAGCCTACCTGAGTATTGCTGCTGACCATGTCCATCCCTTTATGAGCACAGTGTCTCCATCTTCTGATGGCTACTTCCAGCAGGATAACGCAGCATGTCATAAAGCTCAATCATCTCAGACTGCTGAACATGACGATGAGTTCACTGTACTCAAATGGCCTCCACAGTCACCAGAGCTCAATCCAATAGAGCAGCTTTGGGATGTGGTGGAACGGGAGATTGGCATCGTGGATGTGCAGCCGACAAATCTGCAGCAACTGTGTGATGCTATCATGACAATATGGAGCAAAATCTCTAAGGAATATTTCCAGTAGCTTATTGAATCTCTGCCATGAAGAATTAAAGCAGTTCTGAAGGCAAAAGAGGGTCCGACCCGGTACTAGTCAGGTGTACCTAATAAAGTGGCCGGTGAGTGTATTTTATATATGTGAAATCCAAATATAAACTTGTATGTCTTATATATGCAGAACTCAACATTTGAAGTGGATTAAAATAGTTTTTAAAAATAGGTGTTGTTTAATAGTTAGGATAATTGTGATGAAAGGTTTTGATCCACTTCAGATGTTGACTACTGTAGTTTGCATATACACAGGGTGGGCCATTTATATGGATGCACCTTAATAAACTTATTGTGAATTTCACAAGAAAAACAATGGTGTGCCTGGTTTTAACATAACTTTATTCTTTCATGAGATATTTACTAGCCTAATGTGCCACAAACAGGTTGTTAATATCACCAACCATTCCCATTTGATTAAGGTGTATTCATATAAATGGCCCACCCTGTATATCAGTGATTGGTGTGTGGTTGTTGTGAAATGCTAATGTATGTGTGTGTTATGTACCTGTATGGGTCTGGAAAGGCCGAAGACTCCAGATGAGATCCAGGCTTGCCTGGTTATGTGTGTCCACACAGGTCTGTCCTGCTCGCCAGTAAACACACACCGCTCCACCACACGCTGAGGAGGAGAAAACACACACACACACACACACACAATCAGTAACGCAGCCTTAACCCTATGTAACGCACTCATAAGAAAACCCCTGGAGTGTTTCTGGGTGTTATTACAACACTTTTGAACTTAGTAATCAATGTCAATGAAGTTACCATATGTGATTGTTCGCCTAATAAAAGAATAAAAAACCTACAACAGTGTCTAGCTATTGAAGGATGTTCAGTTTAGGCATTATAATAGGGCGTTAATACTTGATAGCAATCTGCAATCAATATGTTTGACATTTAGTGTATTTGTAAACTGCGAGCTTTGAACATTCCCAGACTTCAGAGTGTGAGTGTTGTCATTTTTTTTCACCATTAATTTGGCGTGATTTACGTTCCAGGTCATGGTGGTGAGGCTCCGGTTGGAGAGGTCGACCACGGAGTCCTCGATGATATAAACGGAGCGTCTGCCAGGGAAGATCCGCTCGGCCCAGCGAGGGAGACGATTGGTTTTAGTGAAGAGTCTTCGAGACACCAGGAGGTTTTCTGACGTCACTTTGCGAAACAACACGTCCTCCGTCAGGACATGAGAGCTGACAGAAACAACACACACAGGTCAACTATATATATATATATATATATATATATATATATATATATATATATATATATATATATATATATATATATATATATACACATATATTATTATTATTTTTTTTAAGCTATTCTGGAGTTGTTCATAGTATTTCCTCTAATATTTGTTCTTTTGGAGAAAGTCTTATTTGTTTTAAAGCAGTATTTAATAGTTTTAAAGCCATTTTAAGCTCAATATTATTCGCCCCTTCAGCAATATTAGTGTTGGATTGTCTCCAGAACAAACCACTGTTATACAATGACTTGCCTAATTACCCTAACTTTACCCTAATTACCCTAGTGAAGCCTTTACATGTCACTTTAAGCTGAACACTAGTGTCTTGAAGAATATCTAGTCTAATATTATTTACTGTCATCATGACAAAGAGAAAATAAATCCGTTATTAGAGATGAGTTATTAACACTGTTATGATTATTATTATAATTTTTTAATAGGTTAAATGAATTTAACAGAAGCAGATACACTCAATAAGCTCATGACAGGTCTGCTTTTAATGTTCTTAATAATGTTTTGTTTACTAAGATAAGCCAGGTCAGTACCTGAATGGGTTTGGGTATCTCTGCCAGAAGGCCGTCAACACAAGGTCCCATGAGTTCTTAATCTCCGTCTCACTGAAGAAATATTTCCCCATCACGAGCCCAGCAGAGACCCGCGAACACCGTCCTGAACACACACACACACACATACATACACACACTATCACTTAATCCTGACTCATTTCAAAAACATGAAGGCGTCTACAAATAAAGGGACAGTTCACCCAGGAATTATTATT